GAACGGACCGAGGTCCTGCCCGTCGAGTTACAAAGACGTCGGTGGGAATAAAACGAGGCTGTCGCCAGGCAAAGGACGGCAGGTGCGGAGTGGGGAATTAATCGTGTCTAAGCTGTTGCCGACACGGGACAGTGTGAACAGTTTGCTGACGTATTTACATGAACTACAAATATCGGAGGCCAGTCTGCACAAACAGTTAATGACAACGAAGCAACACACAGAAGAAGAATTATATCAGTCACTGCTGAAGCTCAATGAACTGCAACGTACAATGCACAAGGTCGAGCGAGATCGACAGGTAGCTGAACAGAGACTCGAAGAGAAGGAGCAGCGCATTCGTGAACTTGCAGCCAAACTAGAGAAGGCAGAGACGACTCAAGCAAGACTCAGTCCTGCCAGATCCCCTAGGGACGGGCTACCACCGATCACAGAAGAAATCTCTTTTCACAGGAAAGAAAAAACATCAGCTGAACTGTCAACTTATCTTCAAGAAGCATCAGCTGAAGAAACCCCAGCTCTCTCTTTGGAAGTACCTTTTCCTTCCACTCAAGCTGTAGCGTCCTCATTACGACCACCTCAACTTCAGTCGATCAAGGACGAGGCTGCTCAGTTTGCAACCGTGTCACCGCGGTCACCGAATCGGCCACTCTGGGATCCCTGGGCATCAGGTGGTACAACCCCAATGAAAAACTTGCCGCCAGCTTTCACGATAGGACCAACAGCTCAACACCCCGTGGTAACTTCGCCCGCTTCAACTGAAGAGCCAGCTGCCACTAAATTTGACGAAAACGAGTTGCGATCAGTGTTAAAGTCCCCGCGAGATCGAGATGAACCCACCAAAAGCGTCAGTCTGACTCCACAGGCAGAGAATCAGCTCGTATTTCGAAACCTGCCGTTCGAGCAGGAGGAACGAGAACCACAGCACCCTGCCCCAATGCCACCGCCTCATCCGCGGCAACATAACTTTGATCCGGTACAAGTACATGGTGGGGCGGAGATGCAAAAAGAGCAGTTGATCATGGAGTTTTTGTCGCAAACCGATCCATTGCTATACGTTGGAGCGATGCCTCCGATCCATGAGAGTCCATTGGAGCAGCAAGAGGACAATTCCGCCGAGGCTGACCTGAAAAATAACGACATGACGGCTCTAATCGTTGCCAAACAAACTGCCTCTCGACTTCCACGTGCGCTGGCTGAGAATCTTGCTTCGGAGGGAGCTATGCCCCACGATGAGAGCGGCCAAGTTTCTCAACCTGAGCAAGCATCGAGGGCCGAGGCAGAAGATGCTGGTACAAGAGTGTCAAACTCCACAACAGCCGGTTTTTGTTCTTCGCCGCGTACATTATTGGCTGGAGTGCAGCTGGATTTACCAGTTAAAAAACAGAGCAAGGCCGTGCCTACAAATCCTGTATCCTTGGAGGCATTGCTGCTTGATTTCTTCACGGAGGTAGACAAGAATCGTCTCAAGATGGCGACGGTGTACGGAAAGAGATATGCGGGTCGTGAGAAGTGGCTGTTCACTGAGTTGGCAAAGCGATACGGTGCGGCGAAGGTGGCTGCCTTGAAGGCTCGATATGAACACGGCACCAACGTCTCCACGGGTGACAACAGTGGTGATAAAAAGGGGAAGCGGGATGACCACGCTACGAAGTCGTCTGATAGCTCGGGACGTTCAAAGGCAAGCAGACAAGGTCACCCACAGTTCTTCCACCCGCCTAAGCCTGCCTGCAATGCGAACCCTGGTGCTGGTAAGCCTCGCGTTTCCCTTCCGGTTGCTCCGTCTCAGGAGAACAATGCTCCAAACTCTCAACCAGGACAGGAAATAGAGGCTAAAGCCCCTCCGAGCCCGAGCGAAAAGGTATCCAGAAGCAACACCCCTGCTTTCGGTGATCCTCCGTCGTTCCCAACGACACAAAAGAGTGATGAAAGTGACAGTGCGGTGAAAGCCAACATAGATGGTCCATCGGTGACGAACAGGCCTCCTTTAGCTCAACGAGATAAGCCAAGCGGTTCACTCAACCAGCCTCCTCCTCCCCTCCATCGTGGAATGGAGACAAGCAATTCTGCGCCTGTGGGTCTTCGCCAGCGTCATAATGCGTCTGGACCCAGTGCTCAAGGTCCAAAGACTGACGGTACTGAACGTCCTGCTGTGACTGTGGAGGGTCTGCTTAAGGAATTATACAAGAATCACCAGCCTGACAAACTGAAAAATGTTTCTATCGTCGCGAAGGAGTACGCGGGCAAAGAACGTGAGCTTGTTGGGTTGCTGAAAGGAAAATATGGAGCGCTGAGTGTGAAGCGGCTGGAAGAAAACTTGGAGATACTGGAGCGTGCTCACCGTGATTGTATAGCTGGCAAGGGCGCGGGGAAGAAGCGTGGCTGCTTTGTTCGCACGATATCGCTGCTGCTTTGGCTGTCGGTGCTGCTGTACTTTTCGTTCGGTGCTGTTTTTGTGAGCTTCGTTGTGCTGGATGCGTGGGAGTGCCGTGCTCTTGACAAGGACGGCCAAGAGCTCGAATCTGCTGAAGAATGTGTTCCCTTGCAGGAGGAGCTGGACGCGTTTACGTACGAGCACGTCGCTGACTACATTCGCCAATCCCACCCGGATATTTGCTTTTGCTCGGAGTGGAAGGCTCGGGAGAATGCATTGTTCACAACACTTTCGGGCGACGACCTCATGAATTTGGTGAGGCTGGTGCCATTTTCCCCCGACTCGTTTGGCTCAGCTTGGATTGCTAGCGTGAAGGAGCAGGCTCCGTCGCAGGAGTGCTACAACAACTACGCGAAGCCTGTGGTGGATCTGTGGCTGGATGTTGGCTCGTTCTTGTGGTCTTCTGTTCTCGAGCTCGCAGGATACGACGAAGTGTGTGAAGTGAAGTCTCAGACCGTGGAAAGTGTTGTGGAAAACGAGAATCCATCGGTGGACGAGGAAAGTGACAGCAATACGGACGCGGGCTCGCTGGAGCAAGCGTCTGAAGAAATGGAAAGCGAAAGCTCTATCAGCGAAGTTGAGATTGACCCTGATTTGACTGAGGAGACTGAAGCCGATGGTCAATTGACCGAGGAAACTGAAACAAATGGTGGTTTTGTACCCGCGGACGAAGTTCCTGTGGAAGAGGAAACACTTAGGTTTGATGATGGGCCTCAAATTGGTGAAGAAGAAAGTCTATTATTTGGACCGGAAGTTGTGGATAAAACCAGTGCGCAGGTGTCTGAAGATGTCGAAGCAGTCGAGAAGGCTGAGTCGGTAGATGCCATTGTTGAGGCTCTGACAGAGGATGATTGTGTTCTTGCTCTTCGTAAAATCGAGGAGGCCGAGTTGGATGCCGATACGGAGTCGACTGGCGTTGATGGGACTGCGGTGATGGAGGACGACTCTGTAATTACCACCCCCGTGGAGGAGACTGACGCCATTGATCGTGGCGCTGATGCTGCTTCCTCGTCTGTTACGGTTGAAGTGGTGGATGCTACGGTTGATGTGTCTGGGGAAGAGTCTGTGGTTGAAGAAGTTGCGACGGAGTTGGACGACGTTGTAAAGATTGAAGTTCTGGAGGAGGGTGTAAGCTTGTCGTACGCTGAGACCGTGACGGATGTCACCAAGGAGGAGCTGACTGCTGAATTTACTGAGGGTTTCTCCTCCTCTGCTCTGGGATCGGAGTCTGAACCAGTAATATCGTCTCGATTAGGCGAGGCAGAAGTGAAGATGAATGTCGAGTTTGAGAATATTGTTGTCGATTTACTGGAGAAATCTGGGTCAACCGCTGCAGCTGCTGCTGAAGACACTATGCCTAGTAGCGCCAACGTCGTAGCTGAAGGAGTGACGGAATCGACGTCACATGTGGATGCTAGTGAATCTATTGTCGAGATGGAGGATGTTGATGGGGAGTCGGTTTGGTCCGAAGCGTTAGAAGAGGATATTGCATCGGAGGTGAGCGAGGAATCGGATACTGTCACACATGAGGCTGCTGGTAAGATGTCGGCGCTGGGGTCGCGGGGTGGGGAGGTTTACGCTACGTTGAGTGAAAAAGCTGAGCTTGTGACTGGAAGGAACGAGCTTGAGGTTGTCATTGAAGTGGAGTCAGAAACGGCGAATGGCAAATGGGAGGTAGTCACAGAAGATCGTACCAATGATGTAGTGGAAGCCGTCGCGGAGTCAAGGTTTGAGCTGCCTTCCAGCTCATATGACGTTGACGCTGCAGAGCCTCAGTCCGAGGAGAGCAGCAGCATTGCGTCGAAAGAGGATGCCAAGGGCGTTAACGACGTGGATAAGGTTGGTGAAGAATCTTTTGACGCTCCTGTTGCCGTGCCGAACGTTGAATTAGCGAGCTCTAGAGACGATTTCGAACCGGCCGTTCCAGCTGAGACTAATTCCCCAAACTCTGGGTTGGAGCCGGAAGCAGACGTTGTCGGAGCTGTTGATGAAACTATACTGCAGGAGTTGGTGAATGAACTGAATAGCGAGGCTTCTATTCAAACGTGCGACATTGAGCTGGTTGCCGTTGAGGAAGCTGAAGAATTGACTTTTCTCTTTAAAACTGAACCGGAGAACCTGGAAAGCGGTGTGGACAACGACGCTGAACCGAGTACGAAGCAATTTGTGCCTGATGTTGACGTGGGCAGCGAACGTGGTAAAGAACCTGAAGCATCGTCCGAAGCGGATATGGTGGATACGAAGGAGCCTGTTGACAAAGTAGGTGGGTGTGTTTCTGATGGCGAAGAAATAACTCTTTGTTCTGGCAAGTTCGAGGCTCTTGACAAAATGCCTCAAGCCACGGGCCTGATGGTGACTGGTGCCGACGCTATTAAACCAAGATCGAGTGATGTTGACGATATCGAGGAGGATGAAGAGATTGCCTTTATGGAAGATCTCGAAAATCCGGAGGCGGTGCTTCGCATGGCTGAACAAGCTGCGGCTGCTGCTGAGTTTTCAGCAATAGAACCGAGATAGTGGCAAGCAGGTGCATTCGGAATCCATATCACTTCACACCGTCTTGTAGTTGTGGACTCACTTAAGTGTATTGACAGTGGATCGACCTCGGAAGTGCATCCATACGAATCAGTTTTGCAAGCACAACCAAGTTTCATCATTCTTCCGCCCTAGAATTTGGTTAGCCCCACTCCTCCCCTCGTTCCTGTAGGTGTTACTCTCGAGCAATGTGCCGGCTGGTTACCGAGCAGTTCGAAACCTTTCTACATGTCTAGAAGCAGACGGCGCGAATCACTGATGGCCTCGGCGATACTCTTGAGCACCGTCACACCTTCTCGTCCATCGATGATGCGGTGGTCGTACGTCAGCGAGAGGAACATCATGGGGCGCGGCACAACCTTGCCCGCATGCACCGTCGGGCGCATTTTGACGCCGTGCACGCCCAGAACAGCCGACTGAGGTGCAGTCAGCATTGAGGTGCTCAACAGAGCTCCGTTCACGCCGCTGTTCGAGACCGTGAAGGTACCGCCCGCCAGATCCTCTAGCGCCAACGTGCCGTTGCGGGCCTGCTCACCCAGCGTTGTCAGCGTCTTCTCGATGTCCACCACGCTCAACTTCTCCACGTTTCGGAGAACAGGCATCACAACACTGATCAAAAGTGAAGACAATGAGTAAGTCAGTTGAAGAGGCGATGATACTACAGTTCACCAAAAATACGTACCCACGCTCCGAGGCGACGGCCACGTTGATGTCGACGAAATCGTTGTAAACGATCTCTTTGGCGTCCATGTCGATAACTTGAAGGGTAAAGAGGAACAATACAAGTTAGACTGACGAATATGGAGCTAGCAAGTACTTATACGTACATGAGTTGGCCGCAGGAATACGCTGAAGCGCCTGCGCACTGGCCTTGAGGAACGACGACATGATGCCAAGCTTCACACCGTGAGTCTTCTCAAAACTGTCACCAAGCTCTTCACGAAGAGCGATCAGGTTGCTCAGGTCGCACTCCTGGAAGGTTGACAGCATGGCAGCGCTGTTCTGCGTTTCCTTGAGTCGGTGAGACGCGCGGACCTTCAAAGCGCTCATCTGAACGCGAGTCTCGTTCCGGTTGTATCGTCCCGTGGCAGGCGCAGCCGGGGTGGGAGCCGAAGGCTTTGACGAAGCGGCTTCGGATAAAACTGGAGCTTTCTCTTCGGGTGTAGAGACGGCAGCAGCAGCCGGGGCAGATATAGAGGCTGGAGCAGCAGACTCAGTTGGGGCCAAAGCTGCCTTGTCGATCACGAAGAGAGGCGAGCCCACTTCGACAACATCCTCAAGTCTCGCCAACACGCTTGTCACCTTTCCGGATACGGGAGCGTTGACGTCCACACTCACCTAGTCAAATACACGCAAAATACTTCAGTCAATAAACAATAAACTACATGCAGAGCACAGGCATTTTTTTTCTCGCACAAACGAAAAGCCCACCTTGTCTGTCTCCACAATGAGGACAGCCTCATCAGCACGAACGTAGTCGCCAGCGTCTATAACACGGCAAAAGCGACATGTTAGCAATGTTGGCATCACTACAGCACTCAACAAACGAAGCTCACTCTTGAGCATAGTCACAATTGTGCCCTCCGAGATGGAGTCGCCCATGGACGGCACATGGATGGTCTCGAGGTCCTCGCCAGCAAGCGCTGCAGGCGTCGTAGTCTCCTCTGCCGGATCAGAGTCACTTGAGGATGCAGCGGCCTGCTTTACCACGCTGAAAAGAGGGGCGCCCACCAGTACGTTGTCGTCGATCTGGGCCAGCTGAGCCTCCAGCACACCCGAGAACGGCGCGCGAACATCCACGCTGACCTTGTCAGTCTCCAGCACGACGACCACCTCGTCAGTGCCCACAAAGTCACCAGGAGCTGCACCACCAAGCTGAAAATGTCAGCATCATTTTCTCCCCCGGAAGGAAACAGAGCGCCTCGTACCTTTCGTCCACTCGACCACGGTTCCCTCTGAAATGGAGTCGCCCATGGACGGCACAGGCACAGACACAGCGGCAGCGGCAGCTTTAATACAAAATTCCCCACAACCCCCCACGTCAATGCGAAGAGATCCAAAAGCAAAGTCCAGAGCTACGTACCCGAAGAGAAAGCGCGAGCCAGGATCTGCGCTTGCAAGTGCAAAACGCTAAGCTCAAGGCACAATGCACACAATTAGTATTTAAATGCTACAAAGCTATAGAGCCTTGGTACGGTGCACCTGTTGCGCTGCTGCATGGAGTTGCTCACTATGGAGAGCGAGTGCGTCTGTCGCTGGACGGCAAGCGCCACCTGCGAGCGCGCGAATCTGGACGCGGAGGTAGCGGCACGGCGCGCTAGGAGGCGGCTGCTACGCATGCTCCTGCCGAGGGCGTGGAAGCTCATAATCTGCGGTCTCTGCTGACAATCAAATTTAAAGCGCTGGTAGCACCAGCACACCAGTCGTACACAACTTGTACATAATCGTACCTAGCAGGCTGTCACATATTTTCGGAATAAAACAGTTTTGAAAACTTCAAAAGGGTGTTTTGTACTTTTTCTGAGCGTAGTACTGTACCCTGCGGAAATGCCTGCGTACCGGCAAGTTGCCTGGAGAGGTTGCCGCCGGCAACCTCTCCAGAAACCCTAAGCACGTAAATAGTTCTTGTGAAGCATATCTAGATCAAGTATACCTACATGTACAGCGTAGGCTTAATACATCACCAAATTATCCAATTTTTACGATATTACATCGTGAAATACGGTACATAGCCTGTTACTGATCAGTTTAATAAGTTGATAAGTTTAGTATAATATAACCCAATGTACAAAAAGCAAGTACTCCCTCCGTTTCACATTACTTGTGACGGGGTCACACAGCACCTTGCGCTAGAGGAAGTTATCTTCCGAGAGTATACAAACTCTCAGTGAACGGCAGTTCACAGGTCCCCTCTTTAATTAAAGAGAGCGAAGTGACCTAAATAAGGTAGATTGTAAACTGAGTATATTTATAGGTAGGTTAAGTTTGAGGTTAATACAAACTATCAGTTACCTATAGTAATGCAATGTCATTTAACCAATGGTTGGTTTTGAATGACCTTGGTACCTTGTACCAAATATCCCGGAGTATGACATGTCATACTCCTGAAGTGTGAAGTGTCACACTTCATGTAACCAGGGTACACTTAGTGCTACGTACCCCGTTACATCCTCCCCCACTTAGGTTCGGTTTACCGACCAATCAGAATGAAGAGATGTTCGTCACAAACTCTCATTCTCAAAGTCGAAAACCATCGACTCGGCCGCGCGAGCGCGGCGGAGGCTCACTTTACAGTTAGAGCCTCGAGCAGCAACCTGTGCGCTCTTCGTCAAGGTCTCCACTTCGACCGTTAACATGCCTCGTGGCACTGCTAAGAGCGGTGCTAAGACACGCTTCAAGGCTGCAGCCGGTAAGGCGCAGGCCAAGAGCACTAAGCCTCACGGCAAAGGCTCTGCACTTAAGGAGGCTACTCAGGTGGCCTCCGAGGCGATCGGATCCTCGGGTGACGCGGCTGCGGACAAGCGCGCAAGCAGGCGCCGCAGTCCGTCGCCCTCGTCTTCAGACAATCGTCCGAACCCTCGGTTCGTAGAACATGAGTTCAACTCGGGCAGTGAGGACGATGCCGAGTTCGAGAGCACTCATGATGCTCCTGCGGGCTCTGTGGGAGGGCACAGCCCAGTGCCCAGTGAGCACAAAGAAGACAGCGTGCAGTCGTCCGCTAGTGATCACGGTGATCACAGTCCCAGGACCTCTGTGCGCTCTGAGAGTCCGGCCGTTAAGGCTAAGGGCACTCCCAAAGCCGGTGGCGATGAGGAAGGGAGTCCTCGCAAACGTCTCTCGCTTGCCGAGGGTCTTGCGCGCGCTAAGGCCTCTAAAGCCGAAGGCGCCAAGCCCTCAAAGAAGCGTACCGCCTCTAAGTCTCCACTCCGCGAGGAGAAGGAGACTCGACGCTCCTATCAGAGTCTCTTCGGCTCCTCGGATGAAGAGGAGGAGAAGGAGGAAGAAGAGGAAGAGGAGGGTGCCATTGTTGAGCCCCGGGAGGTCTCGAATGACCTCGACCAGCAGCAGGAGGATTTCCAAGCTGCCCAGCGTGTGCGTGGGGGTTCGGTGGCGGCACCCGTCAGCCAGGGAGCTGCCATCAACTCAAGAGGGTATTGGCCTCCCGAGGAGAGCTCTGGGGCTGACCTCTTCTTAGAGCTTCTCGTCGCTCCTCGTGGCCTTGTGGGCGGCCACACTTCTAGGGGCATCTATGAACGAGCCCTTGTTCAGAAAGAACAGTTGTTCGTCGACAACGTGGAGGCTGCTCGGTGTGTGCTTCTCGCGCCACACCGCATTCCCCTTAAGGACTTCACGACTTGTCGTAAGAAGCCCGAGACCCGGGGTGGTCTCTATCCTGTTTGGGGATACCCCTGGGTTATGCCCGAGAACTGTCCCACATGGAGTTCTTGTGAGGACATGTTCTGGGCGTGGGTGGAGACTCTCAAGTACTCGCCCACGGAGTTATGGGAACTCCATGAAGATCAGCAGCTGTCCCACATCCTGGACCAGCGTGATCTTCGTGTGAGGTTTGCCCACTTGATCAGCAAGCGTATGCTGCCAAGGGACATCCTGAAGCGCGCGGCTTCTAGCGCTCACGATGAGCGCGGGTACGGTATGTATTCATCATCCGTACCCCGTTCGGGCAAGAAGCCCCGGACTACTTATGAAGCTGCCGCCGCTTCTGTTCCCAGATTGCGACAGCCTTCGGGCAGTCAATCAGGAGCCGTTCAATCGGCTCCCACGAGTTCTCGGAGTGGGCATAACCCCTCCACTTCACGAGGAGCTGTCGCTTCCCGCGACACCGTTGCTCCTGGAGGATCCGCTCCACGTGGAAGTGGACTTCTCCATTCCGGTCAAGCAGGGGCGGAGGTGCCCTCGTACGAGTACGAGTACTCGGCGCCTCCCGAGAGCCACTCTCGTTCGAGTGCTCCGACTGCGGGTCCGACACGGGACCCTGAGGTTGACCGCCTCCGTCAACGTCTCCTCGTGCTTGAGATTGCACTTGGCCTTGGGACTGGCGGTAATGCTGCCGCCCAGGCCGGGAATCAGGGCGAGCTCGCTCGTCTTGCGGGTCGCCTGGACCTGGTGGAGCGAGAGGTCGCGAGCCTGCACCTGCGGGTGGACCGCCGGGCCTCTTCGTCCGATCTGGACGAGGCCTTTTGCATGATCCGACGGATCGAGGCTTTGTTGCCACGTCCGGAGCCGCCTGCGGCACACTCCCAGACGTACGCGTATGGTGCGTACCCGGCGTACTCAGCGTACTCGGCGTATGGCGCCGGGGTCCGTTCGTATGGAGCCCCTCCGGCGTACGGTCTTGACCGCAGCCTTGCCGTCCCGACCGAGGCTTGGGTGCCTGCTCCGACGCCCTCGTCGACGACTGTGACCGGCCCTCGCTTCGAGGAGCTGGGTCAAGGGGGGTCTGCGAGTCAGCAACCCCCTGCGGGTCAAAGTACCGCTTAAGACGTCCGACATAGAACGTCGGGTGCGTCGTCATTGACTTTGGAAGGTCGATGGTGTACGACGCACCATGTCTGGCCAGGACTGCAAAAGGTCCGATGAAGCGGTGCTTCAGCTTGTTGCTGCCGACAGAGCTGACAGTGTCTAGCGGTAGGTTCCTCGTGTCTAATAGCACTAAGTCCCCCACTTTAAATACACTTAAGTTTCCTCTTCCATGTTTGTCTGAGTACTCCTTTTGTCTATCCTGGGCCGCTGCCATGGCATCGCGGACCCTGCTGACAATGTTCAGCTTGGTATCCATAAAGGATTCCACCTGTTTCCGCAGCGAAACTGGCCTCACATCCGAGACCTGGGAGGAAAGGGCTTTCCGAGCCTCTCCCCCACTTAGAATAGAGGAGTCAGTGTTTCCTCGAAGAGTGAGAGGCACTCTGGGGTGGCGGAAGCCGTTCAAGTAGAACGGCGTGAACCCCGTGGACGCGTGCACCGCGTTGTTGAGCGCAAACTCAACAACTGGAAGCTGCGTCGACCACGTACGTGGCGCTGCCGCGCACACACTGCGCAGAGTGTCCTCGAGCACTCGATTGACGCGCTCTGTTTGGCCGTCTGTCTGCGGATGATCCGCAGTGGACATCTGCAGACGAGTTCCCAGTAAAGGGAACAGCGTTTTCCAAAACGCAGCAGTGAACCGCGGGTCTCGGTCCGAGACAATCGTCTCCGGGAGACCGTGATAGCGGAACACGCCATCGACGAACAACCTTGCAGTTTGTTCGCCCGTCACAGTGACGGGAACTGGAGCAAGATGTACCATCTTGCTCAGCCGACACACGAACACCAAAATTCCGGTGTTGCCGTGTCCGTCGGCGGGAAGCCCAAAGATGAAGTCAAGACTCATCGACTTCCAACAATCAGCCGGTACGGGCAGGCTCTGTAGTGGAGCCGAAGAGTGCCCTGCCGGTTTAACCCGCTGACATGTTTCACATGTCTTGACGTACCGGGCGACCCACTTGTACATGTGGGTCCACCAGAAGGACTGAGAGACCGACAGAAAGGTCTTCTCGCGGCCCAAGTGGCCGCTGGAGGGCGCGTCATGCGCCTCCGCGAGGATGTCGAACTTCAGATCCTCGTCGTTGGGTACAACCACCCGTGGAGGATCAGTGGGCTCTACCCGATAATAGAGGAGGCCCTCCTTCAACTCATATCGGTGGAGCCGTGAGCGCTGTCGCGACGAGAGCCAGTCGGACTTCGCGCTCGTTCCGGCCTTAAGGAACTTGACGATAGGCGCGACAGCCTCATCGTCCCGATACGCCATGCGTATCCGATCATATAGATCCGTTGTCACCCGCGTGATGTGGGCCAACTCATAGTCGGGACGCCTAGAGAGGGCGTCCGCAAGCACGTTGAGCTTGCCCGGCTTGTACTCGACGCGGAAGTTATATTCCGCGAAGAAGGACAGCCACCTCGCCATCCGTTGGGAGAGGTGAGGCGAGTTAGTCGCCGTCCTCAAGGACGCGTGGTCTGTGTAGATCACAAAGGGCGTAGAGCCCAGAAGGTGAACACGGAACTTCACAAGGGCATATTTCATTGCCAGGAGCTCCTTGTCATGGACAGGGTAGTTCCGCTCGGCGGCTTTGAGCTGCCTGGACTGGAATGAGATGACTCGTTCCTGTCCAGCCGTGTCGTCCTGCAGCAATGCACACCCGATGGCGTAATCGGAGGCATCGCAGACGACGCTAAACGGCTTCGTCTCGTCCGGCAGAGCCAGGACAGGGGCCTCTTGGAGACTGGCCTTGATGCTGTCAAAAGCATCCTGGTGCTCTTGCTCCCAGCGCCAGTCGACGTCCTTCTGAAGGAGGCTCGACAAAGGCTTAGCGAAGCCCGCGTACCCAGCGC